CGGGCATGCTTGTGTTCTGAAGCTTCTTGTCCTCGAGCTTGCAGGAGTCCAGCTTGACCTTAGTCCTCGCGCTTCCTGTCCTCGAAGCTCTTGTCCTCGGGCTTGCTGTCGTCCTCCTCCAGCGTGGTTGGCTGCGTCTCCTCGTGCTGCTCGACGCCGCCCTCGGTCTTCACCTCCTCGAAGTTCTCGGCCTGCGCGCCGTCTGGCGCCCGCTCGTCGCCGTGCGTTTGCTCGACGAGAAGCCTCGGCGAGACGGCGCTCTCGCCGTCCGACCGCTCGGCGAAATGCCGGGGAAGCGCGCGTCGATCGTCGCTGTTCGACTCAGCCACCGTCGTTGCCGGAGCTGAAAAGAGGCCGGGAATGCCTGGTCCCAAAGGGGCCACGGAAAGAGTCGCGGTCCTCAGCGGGCTCGACCCGAAAATAGCTGGCACCGCAGAGCTTGCGCCCATTGCGCCGCATAGCCTGCAACGCCTCGGCGACGCATCGGCGGGCCTCGAAGGTGCATCGGCGGCGCGGTGAGCTTGGCCTGTGCTGTTGTGGCAGCTGCTGGTTGCGCTGTTGTTGTTTGTCTTGTTGCTGTTGCGGCCTGCTCTTCCTGATGGTTTGCTGGTTGCTGTTGCTGTGGTGGTTGCTGTTGTTTGTGCTTTTGTTAGTGTATGTGCGTATGTTTGTGAGGGTGTGCGAGTGTGCGTGTGCGAGCGTGTGTGTGCGCGTGTATGCGTTTGTGTGTGTGCGTGTGCGTGTGCGTGTGTTTGAGTGTGTGTGTGTGTGTGTGTGTGTGTGCGTGTGCGTCTGCGTTGTCTGTGTGCATGTATGTGTGTGTGCGTATGTGCGCGCGTTTGCGTGTATGTGTGTGAGTGTTTGAGTGCGCGTGTGTGTGTGTGTGTGTGCGTGCGTGTTTGTTTGTGTCGGTGCGTGCGTTCGCGTCTGCGTGCGCGTGCGCCCGTGGCCGCTAGGCGCCGAGGCTCGATCCTAGATCCTCGGGTCGAGGACCCAGTGCCCTCGGGTCAAACTTGGCGATCCTCGGATCTAAGACCCGGGGTGCTCGCAGCAACTCAAGGCCGATATCTCGGATCGTGCATCCGAGGATGGCGGGTCGAGCCTGCTTGATGGCAGTCTGGGGCCGAGGACGGCGACGGGGGCGATCGACGATCGCCGAGGCTCGATCCTCGATCCTCGGATCGCGAACCCGAAATCTTCGGGCCCAAGCGTGGCGATGCTCAGGTCTAGGATCCAAGGCGCCCGAAGATGCTCGGAACCACGATCGTCAGGTCCTCGATCCAAGAATCGATCCTGCTCGATGGCAGTCTGGGCCCGAGGACGGCGGCGCGGGAGATCGACGATCGCCGAGGCTCGATCCTCGACCCTCGGGTCGGTCTTCGAGTCCACGCGTTGCGCTCCTCGGATCTAGGATCCAAGGCGCTCATAGCTGCTCGGCACCAGGATCTCGGATCCTCGATCCGAGGATCGAGCCCCTTTGATAGCGGCCTGGGCCTGGAGACGGCGACGGGGGCGTTCGTCGATCGCCGAGGCTCGACCCTCGATCCTCGGATCGCGAACACGAGATCTTCGGGCCCAAGCGTGGCGATTCTCGGATCCGGGATCCACGGCGCCCGAAGATGCTCGGAACCAGGATCTCAGATCCTCGATCCGAGGATCGAGGACCAAGCCTGTTTGATTGCTCGATGCTTGATCGAGGTTCGCTCGGCGAGAGGGGGGAGTAGCGCCGCCCAGCTTGGAACGCCACTCCCGCGTGCTCGAAGGATCGACTGGAGCTTGAAAGCAGATGGGGTTCGAGCGCGTGCCTCGGAGCGCTCGTGCGGCACCCTCCCAGCGACAAAAAACACGGGGGTGCTTGGCTCGGGGCGCTCGCGCGCCGGGCGCCGCCGTTCGCCGCCGCTCGGCTCTCAGGCGCCCTTCGGCGTCGACTGGTCGGCCTCAGGCTCGGCCTTCGCGTCGGCCTGGCTCTTCCCGGGCTCGCGCTGGCTGCGCATCTCGTCGTAGTCGGCGTGGATTTTGGCGAACTTTTCGAAATGAATCTTGAAGTGCTGGTCGGGAGACACTGACTCGAAGCGGAACTGCTTGTCGGCGCCTGCGTAGTCATGCTTGGCGCGCTTGTCCACGTAGTTCCGCTCCAGGACCTCATGGGCGACGTCGGCAGCGCGCTTGAGGCCCCAGCGCCACCCGACGACGGCTCGCGCGGCGGCTCGCGCGCGGCCCATGCCCTGCACCACGCCGTTGTCGCGGCACCACTTGACGAATTGCTCGGCCTTGCGGGGGGTCGTCTCCAAGAGCTGGTCGCATGGCGCGCCGGAGGAAAACTCCTCGGGCGTCTTCTCGACGGGCCCGAAGCTCTAGTTGATCGGCAGCGCGAAGTCGTGGAGGTTGAGGAGCTCGGAGGGAGCATCGGGGGGGGCCTTGCCGACGCGCTCGGCGTAGGAGCCGAAGCTGAGGTGCTGGGCGCTGTCGGCGCCGAGTTCGATGTCCTTCTTCTTGGCAAGCTCCAGCACCTTCGACTTGAAGCTCGGCGTGAGTTGGAAGAAGTTGTTGGGCGGCCCTCCGCGATTCTCGAAGATGTCGCAGAGGCGGGCGTACGCGGCCAGCTCGACGAGCCTCTTGTCCATATCGTTGAAAATGTGCCATTGCTCGATGCTCTTGAGAGAACCGCCGTTGTAGACCATCTCGAGGACGGACAGCTGGGCGTTCGCCGACCACGAGGCGCTGTCCGCCTTGAAAAAAGCAGACCGTTATTCTTGCTGCGTCAGCACCTTGCGCGCTCGATGGGCATTGGCGCATCTCGGCAATAGCGATCCTGTCCGCGATGAAAAACATATCGTCGAGGATCTTCTCGTTTTGCCGGGCCACCGCCTGGGCGCGCTCGGCGGCCTGGGACATGGCTGAGGCTCGCGACACACCCAGGGCAACGATGTGGGGGGGGGGCACGCATCGGGGGGGAAACATCGACGTGGAATCGGCGATACATCGCCGATGCATCGGCGATGGGCGCCCGGTCGTGAATCCGCACGTTCCTGGGCAGGTTCGGACTATCGAGCCACTCTCTGCGATCAACGAGCGATTCGGGATCGATGCAACCCCTCATGCCTTATCCCCCCTACGTTGCCCCGGGGGGGGGCGCAGCTCGGTGCCTCGAAGAGGCTTGCAAGCCTGGGGTCTCGGCGGCTCGGGGAAGCTCGGACCTGAGCACGCGCGGGGCGGGGGGGGGAGGAGGAGGACGAGGAGGAGGAGGAGGAAGAGTGGCCAACAACCGTGTGAAGGATGCGCTAAAAAAAAACAAGTTCGATGTTTCTCCTGCTCGAAAAACGCATGTAACTTCAAAATCCAATCGGTCCCCATGGCCCTGCCACGCGTACCTGATTCGGGACCGGCTGAGGAAAGTGAGAAAACCATGGCCCAGCCGCGCGTTCATGACTTGGGAAGACCGAAGTGGTGAGAATCCCACAGCCCTGCCACATGCTCGTGATTGCGGAAGCTGCAATGGTGAGACCGCCATTGCCATGCTCAGCGTTTTTGGTATTGTTGCTGATCAGCATGAGATGCTGGCAACTTCGATTCGGCCTCCGCGCCCCTCTCCACAATAAAATCCTATTCACATGGGATACAAAAGTTAGAAGGGGCACGGGGGGGTAGGCTTTAATATCGGGGGCATGGGGCTACCACCCCCGCGCAATCCCGGCGGGTCCTGGGGGGCTCGCCAGCGGGGGTCACGGGAGAAGTCCCGCCTTCAGGGTCGGCGGCACCAGCCGCAAGGCCTTCGCAAGGACGAGGAGGACTCTTATCAGCCCTCAGGGCAGGCGGTGGTCTGAAACGCTTCCTCTTCGGACCCTTTTTCCCTTTCGTGGAAGGGTTCATCATTGCTCCCATTCTAATACCATTCCTCCCCCATTGGACTGGCGATCGACCAGAAACAATGCCGACCCCCCATCGTTCCTGTCTAACACCAGTACAAGGTTGACGTTGAGGCAAAGTCTCAATCATGGTCGGGCGCCCTGCGATCACTTTGCAATGGCTTCTGGGAGGTACGGGGCGGGGGGCATCATACGGCCCACCGTGCGCAGTCCCACCATCCCTCCCAAAAACACATGCAGCGTGACTGCGAGTGCGTACGCAATACGCACATGGTGGCAATCCCTCCGCCACTTCGCATCGAGAATTTGACGGGGGTGAGGGGGGTCAAGTGGGTCGACATAGTGCCCGTTGTGTGCTGTGCCGTGCGCTGGCGCACCTCTCCGCGCGCGGCACACTGGGCGCATGTGGAGCACGTGGCGCATCTGGCGCAGTAGGCGTGCCGGTTACACTGGGGCCCGTGTGGCGCAAGGTGCGCGTGGCGCAGCTGGCACTCGCGGCGCACCTCGCGGGCGTCGCGCACCTGGATGATGCCTGCTTTAATCCCCGATGGTTGTCGAGGGCGACCTGACTCTGCACATGCTGAGGCTCGAGGGACACTGTAGTGGGAGGGCGGGCAGACGTGAGCGAGACAGCTTGCGGCATTCCCGCTGGGAACTTGCCTCCAAGATGGCACAAGAGAGCTTAGAATGGCGCAAGATGGTTAAACAAATGTTCCAGCATGCCCCCAGACAGCCCCAAGAAGGCTTCAAGTGGCGACGGAGCCTCCTAAGGACCCTCCTTCCTGAGAAGCACAACTACCTTCACAACATGGACGACAAGCAGTAATTGCATCATTCTCGCCTTTTCCCTTCCACTGGAATTCTCAGGCCTCGGGATGTCTCCAAGATGGCCCAAGATGGGCCCCAGAGTGATCGAATACGGCCCCCAGGGCGCCCTTAAGCTTCCTGAGGTTGACACAAGAGGCAATTGTGTGACATGTGGCTGCACTCCTGGAAAACGTTCTGCTGCACTTCCCTGATCAGGGCAATTCGCCTAGGGAAAGGCTCTGGATGGGCCCGTGGACACACGCGAACGCTGAGAAAGCGAGGCGGCTGGAAGACCAAGAGGAGCCGGGAAGCAGGGGGGCGACGGGCGTCCTCGAAGCCCGCGAAGGCGTACCCGCGATTCATACCGTCCCGCGGCTTGCAGGGGATGTAGAAGTACTCGAAGCGCCCACCGTAGCCGAAGTCCCCGAGAGCACCGACGATCGCCTCGGACCCGGCGCGGCTCGGGAGGTTCCGCAGCACCAGGTTCACGAGCGGGACGGCCTCCGCAGAGGCCTCCCGGACGGGGCCCGAGCAGCTGGGGCCGGAGGATCGGGCCGCATCGACGATGCGTCGGCGATGCGTCGGCGATGCATCGGCGATGCAGCGGCGATGCATGTGTGATGCATCGGCGACGTCGGCGCAGAGAGGAAGTCGACCTTCGCATCAAGGCGCATCGGCGATGCACCGGAGATGCGGCGCGATCCATCGGCCCCGTCTACTCGGACCCCATCGGGGAGGCCTAGATGGGGGGCAACGATAAGGGGGGGACTGGCATAGGGGAGGTTGCATCGACCTGGAATCGGCGATACATCGCCGATAGATCGGCGATGGGCCCCCGATAGTGAATCCGCACCTTCCTGGACAGGTTGGGGCTATCGGGCCCCTATCGGCGGTCAATGGGCGATTGGGGGTCGATGCACCCCCCCTTTGCCTATCCCATCCCTGTCGTTGCCCCTGACTAGAGCCATCCGGCTGAAGCGATGACAAGGCCTCGGCCCCACAGGCCGAGCTCTACCCTCCGATAAAAAACATATGGGGATGAGTAGGCTGCTCCGCTCGGGTGTTCTGGGGCCCGTCCCCATCTGGGGGCGCCTGATGGTTGGGCTGAGATACCATGGGCACGTGGGGATTGGACTGGGATGCGCGGAGTAACCCTGGGCAACACATTGCCTCGAGAGCTCGTTACGCCATGCTTCGCGATCACACCCAGGACGGGCTCCGCTCCCCCCACTCCCTGGTGACGCCACGATGCGCGGTGGCGTCGTGCGATTACAGTCAAAACGTATAGTAAGGACGCGTGGTAAGGACGCAAGACCCTTGGAGGCCGAAGTTGGATTTTTGGGGCGGGGGGCGGCCAGTGAAAACGGCAAAGGACGGGCCACAGAGGCAAGGACGCAAGGGTACCCTAGATGAAGGCGCGCGTCCTTACTAGGCGCGTTGACTGTATAGCCAATCTCAAACACTCCCAAGCGGCGACGGCGCGAATCGTGACGTGACCGGCCCCCTCCCACACCCGGTCACGCCCGCTCTCGCCAGGGGATCCAGAACACGATCTCCTGGGCAAGGCGTGGCCTTCGGTGCGCGGCTCTCGGGGGGGGGGGGGGGGCGAGCCCCAACGCGCACGAGCCGCTGCCACCGCATCGCACCCGGCGATCAGGGGGGCCCGATCGGGCCCGCAGCAAGGGGTCACTCCTGCGAAGGGCCACTCCTGCGCGGGCGGCAGGCGCGGACGGCCCCGGCGCTGGCTTCCGACGCTCGTGCGCGAAGGACATGTGGCCATCCGTGGCCCCGCGGGCTGGCGCGGAACGCGTCCGTGCGCCCGCGCATCCGCGCGGGAACGCGCCCCGAAATCCAGACCGTCGACGTATCCGTGCGCCCGCGCATCCGCGGGAGCGCGCTCCGAAATCCAGACCGTCAGGGTGCGGATCTGCGCACGTGCACCGCTTGCGCGCGAGGCTCCGCACGGTCGGCGGCCTCTTTCCGTCGCCCGATCGCTCCCTGCTGGCCGAGTCTTGGACACAGGCGAGCCCCGCCATCCCGCCGATGGTCGTGGAAGGTTCAGCTCCTGGCCCCAAAAGTCCCGACCGCTTCCTCGGGCGCCGTGTCCTGCCCCAAGTCAAATTTGTTGGTGGTCCTGGGGCCCGAACGAGAGGCCCCGAGAGGCCGCGATCCGGGACATTCGCCCGGATCGGAGCAGTCAGCTCGTCGGAGATCTGGGGACATGAACCTGCGGCATGTGAGCCTGGCCTGAGCATCTCTTAACCGATCCTTGTCCCCACGAGCGTGGCCTGGGCCCCACTGGCCGATTGACCCTCCACTAGAGGGGGGGGGGGGGGGGCATAGGCTGTCCCCTTCGGGTTTCGAAGGGCCCATCCCCAACCGGGGTGATGAGATGGTGGGGCTAAGAATCCGTGGCCTGGTGGGACTTGGGGTGCGCTGCTCGATGCCAGCGGCTGCTCCATCGCCAAATCGTCCCATGTTGGCCGATTCTTGGCCACTGGCGCTCCTCGAATCCTCGAATCCTCGAATCCTCAAACCCCTCGAACCCTCGAATCCTCCTCATCCCCTCTCCTCCCCTCCTCCCCTCCTCCCCCTCCTCCCCCTCCCCCCTCCTCCCCCTCCTCCCCCTTCCCCCTCCCCTCCCCCTCCTCCTCCTCCTCCTCCTCCTCCTCCTCCTCCTCCTCCTCCTCCTCCGCCTCCGCCTCCGCCTCCGCCTCCGCCTCCGCCTCCGCCTCCGCCTCCGCCTCCGCCTCCGCCTCCGCCTCCGGCCTCCGCCTCCGCGCCTCGCGCCTCCGCTCGCCTTCCGCCGCCGCCTCTCCTCCTCCTCTCTCCTCCTCCTCCTCCTCCTCCCTCCTCCTCCTCCCTCTCCTCCTCCTGCTCCTGCTCTGCTCTCTCCTCCTCCTCCTCCTCCCTCCTCCTCCTCCGCCTCCGCCTCCGCCTCCGCCTCCGCGCCTCCGCCTCCGCCTCCGCCTCCTCCTCCGCCCGCCTCCTCCTCCTCCTCCTCCTCCTCCCTCCTCCTCCTCCTCCTCCTCCTCCTCCTCCTCCCCTGGGTCAATCCAAAGCCGGGTGTGTTCCACTTGCAACGCCAGCGGAGGGGCCGGTCGCAGCCACGTGGGTGCGGCGCGACCCGTCCTACCATCCGCCAGTATGAGCCTTGCCATCCGCGGCCTCAGAAGTCCCGACCGCTTCCCCGGGAGTAGCGTCCCGCCCCCCATGCAGCTCCGATGGCCCCGCGGCCCGAAGCAGGGCCCCACTGACAGAAGCCGACATCGAGAAACCGAAAACACCCGCCCAGATTGAGCAGAGCATGTCGCCTGAGATCGTCGTTGGCAACTCGCGGTAGCCTCCCATGCCAGAATGCTGACTCTTGCGAATCGACGATGACCGGCGCTAGCCGACGCAAATCGACGCTGATCAACGCTACGTCGAAACGAATCGGAGCTAAATCGGCGGCGTCCAATCGATTAATAAAGGCTAGCGCGCGCTAACTGATTAGCACACAACGGACCCCCAATATTTTGGGAGGAACCGAAGTCAGGGATAGGGGGTCTTGTTTGTAGATGCGTCCAACCGAACCGCCCGGATGTCGACCCTCTACAGGGACATGTTTCATCCAATGGACTATTATGAGATGTTAGAAAAAAAACAGGGGTCGTAGAGTAGGGAGAATGGCATCTCGCGCTCGCGCTCGAATACGAAAGATGTTTGCTATAAAACAGAAATGGCAAAGCACGGGTCAAGATGCGCCCGTGCGCGGACGATGTGGCGACATGGTCGCGCACTGCCGGACACTGAAAAGATGGCGACCACGCGATAAACAATGATATCCAAAAGACGATTTGCACGAAGGCTTCTGCGAATTTGGACATATTTGGAGCAATTGGCTGTTGACAGGCGGCGCGCTCGCACGTTGGAGGGTGGATGTGTGGGCGCGCACCAGATGTTGAGACGCAATCGCACATCAGGACATGGCGCCGTCAACAACATGATCGTGCACTAATGAAATGCTAAGCTGCGCGGACACTGAACAAAAAACGTGATCGAACACGTTTTACTGTTAAGACGCTAGGCGCGCTCGCAAGTTTACGGGCGGATGTGTTGGCGCGCACAAAATGTGAGACATGATCGCGCATCAGGACAGGGCGCCGTTAAAAACATGATCGTGAACTCGTGAAAATGCTTCGCTGCGCGGACACCGAGCAAAAACATGGGCGACCACTACTGTTAAGACGCTTGTGCCGCTTCTTTGGGTGGGAACTGATATCATGTACAGGTTTGTTTGATTGGGAACCGACGGCCTGTGCATTGTTTTCGTGTTGTCGAGTTGGGCTCGCTTTTAGAACTTGTGCAGCTTCTTTGATCGGGAACCGAAGCGGAGACTTCGCCCCAGAGATTGTTGTGCTGGTGGTGGTGGTTGTTGTGCTGGTGGCCTGTGCTGGCTCCTCCTCCTCCTCCTCCTCCTCCTCCTCCTCCTCCTCCTCCTCCTCCTCCTCCTCCTCCTCCCCCCTCCCCCTCTTGCTCTTCCACCCGCTCTTCCTCAGGCTCCCCCTGGTGGTCGTGTTGGTGGTGGTCGTGCTGGTGGTCGTTTTGGTGGGTGTGGTGGTGATCGTGATGGTGGCTGGTCGTGATGCCGGTCGTGCTGGTGGTCGTGCTGGTGGTCGTGCTGGTGGTCGTGCCGGCGGTCGTGCTGATGGTCGTGCTGGTGGGTGGTTGTGCTGGTGGTCGTGTTGGAGGCTGGTCGTGCAGCTGGTAGGGCGGCTGGTCGTGCTGGTGGTTGTTCGTGCTGGTGGTCGTGCTGGTGGTCGTGCTGATGGTCGTGCTGGTGGGTGGTTGTGCTGGTGGTCGTATTGGAGGCTGGTCGTGCAGCTGGTAGGGCGGCTGGTCGTGCTGGTGGTGGTCGTGCTGGTGGTCGTGCTGGTGGTCGTGATGGGCGTCGTGCTGGTGGTCGTGCTGGTGGTCGTGCTGGTGGTCGTGCTGGTGGTCGTGCTCCTGGTCGTGCTGGTGGCTGGTCGTGCTGGTGGTCGTGCTGGTGACCGTGCTGGTGGTGGTCGCGCTGGTGGTCATGCTGGTGGTGGTCGTGCTGGTGGTCGTGCTGGTGGTCAATCTGATAGTCGTGCTGGTGGTCGTGCTGATGGTCGTGCTGGTGGGTGGTGCTGGTGGTCGTGGTGGTGGTCGTGCCGGTGGTCGTGCTGGGTCGTGGCGGTCGTGCTGGAAGTTGTGCCAGTGGTCGTACTGGTGGTCGTGCTGGTCCTCGTGCTGGTGGTCGTGCTGGTGGTCATGCCGGTGGTCGTGCTGCTGGTCGTGCTGCTGGTCGTGCTGGTGGTGGTCGTGCTGGTGGCTGGTCGTGCTGGTGGTCGTGCTGGTGGTCGTGCGGCTGGTCATGCTGGTGTTGGTCGTGCTGGTGGTCTTGCTGGTGGTTGTGAATGGTGGTCGTGCTGGTGGTCGAGCTGGTCGTCGTGCTAATGGTCGTGCTGGTGGCTGGTCGTGCTGGTGGTCGTGCT